ATAGGAATCATCAGCGCATATTGAGGCGTTGACGTTATCACGACGCCTACGGCGAATTACCGCTGCCCACCGCCTTTAGAATCGCCCATGTGGCCGAGCGTTGTGGCAAAAGCTCTGAGCGTTGTGGCAAAAGCTCTGCCAAGGTATCGGGCCATGTGTTCCCCCAACCGTTGTGGAAACCCTTCGGGGAACACTTGGGGGAGGACGGCGGGGAAGATGAAGAGGAGGCGGAGGAGGAGGAGGCGGAGATGGAGGAGGAGGAGGAGGACGAGGAGGAGGAGGAGGAGGAGGAGGAGGAAGAGGAGGAGGAGGAGGAGGAGAGGGCATCTTGGGAGCCTGTGGGGACACTCTTGGTGCCTCCTAGGAGCTTACTGGGAGACTCTTGGACCTTTGGGGACTTCTCGGGGACCTCTTTGGCCGTCTTGGTGGGCTCCTGGCCCGTCTGACGCCGTCGGAAGCCGTCTTGGGGGCCTCTCTGGGCCGTCTTGTGGCCCTCGTGGGGTTGTCCAGGGCTGTCTTGGAGGCCATCTTGGGCGTCTTGGAGGCCTCCTGGGCCGTTTGGGGGGCCTCTTGGGGCCGTCTTGGGGCCCTCTTGGGCCGTTCTGGGGCCATACTGGAGACAACTTGGGCGATCTTTGGGGGCGCTTGGGTCGTCTCGGGCCGTCGGAAGGCAAAAACAAACAACAAATGCCACAATCCTTCAAACAGTCATGGGAAATCAATGATTTTGGCCTTTTCGGGCCTTCCTGGAGGCCCTCTTGGTTGCCTCTTGGGCCATCTTAGGGCCATCTTAGGCCGTCTTGGTGGGCTCCTGGCCCGTCTGACGCCGTTTGGGGGGCCCCTCTGGGCCGACTTGGGGCCCTCTTGGAATGCTCCAGGGCCGTCTTGGAGGCCATCTTGGGCGTCTTAGAGTCCTCCTCGGCCGTCTTGGGGGCCTCTTGGGGCCGTCTTGGGGGCCTCTTGGGCCGTTCTGGGGCCATCTTGGAGGCCTCTTAGGCGATCTTGGGGCGATCTTTGGGGGCTCTTGGGCCGTCTCGGGCCGTCGGAAGGCCGAAAAAAAGCAAATGCAACAATCCTTCAAAAAGTCATGGAACATCAGTGATTTGGACCTCTTCTGGCCGTCCTGGAGGCCCTCTTGGAGGCCTCTTGGGCCGTCTTGGACCAGCTTAGAGTCAACTTCGGCCATCTTGGTGGGCTCATGGCCCGTCTGACGCCGTCGGAAGCCGTCTTGGGGGCCTCTCTCGGCCGACTTGGGGCCCTCTTGGGGTGCTCCAGGGCCGTCGTAGAGGCCATCTTGGGCGTCTTGGAGGCCTCTTGGGTCGTCTTTGTGCCCTCTTGCGGGCCTCTTGGGCAGTCCTGAGGCCATCTTGGAGGCCTCTTGGGCGCTCTGGGGGCGATCTTGGAGGCCTCTTGGGCCGTCTTGGGTCGTCGGAAGACCGAAAAGAGCAAATACGAAAAACCTTTCGAAACCTATGGGAAATCAATGATTTTAGCCTCTTCGGGCCTTCCTGGAGGACCTCTCCGAGGCCTCTTGGGCACCTCTTGGGCCGTCTTGGGCCGTCTTGGAGGTTTCTTGGGCGGACTTGGAGGCATCTTGGACTCTCTTGGGCCGTCTTGGAGGCCATCTTGGACCATCTTGGGCGAACTTGGAGGCCATCTTGGGACATCTTGGCCATCTTGGAGCCATCTGGAGCAGGAAAAACCTTTGCAACTGGTTTTTGGGCAGTCTTTGGGGCCATTCTGGGACCCCGGCGGGCTGGGCCGGAGCCCCAGGGGGAGTTCTTTTCTGGAGCAGAACCAAAACCAAAAGCGAAAAGATTTAGCACGCCGGGCACCCTTGTGATGACTCAACAGGGGGCGGCGGATCGAAGACGCCTCCGGCGAATCACCACCGCCCCCTGCCTTTTTGGAAGCGCCTGTGTGGCCGAAAGTTGGGTTTGAGCTTGGCCAAGCTGTCGGACCACGCGTTCTCCGAGTGGGTTTCGAAAGCCTTCGGGGAACACGGAGTCGGGCGAGCTATCAGACCAGGTGGTTTCCGAGCTTTCGGGCCTCCTGGAAGACGTCTTGGAGGGGTCTTGGGCCGTCTTGGAGGCCTCTGGTGGGCCTTTTTGGGCAGTCTGAGGCCCTTCTCGGCCGTCTTGGAGGCATCTTGGAGGTTATCTTGCCCGTCTTGGAGGCCATCTTGGGCGTCTTGGAGGCCTCTTGGGCCGTCTTGGGGCTCTCTTGGGACCGTCTTGGAGGCCTCTTCGGCCGTCATAGGGCCATCTTGGAGGCCTCTTGGGCGCTCTTGGGCCTTCGGCCCCCTTGAGCCGTCGTGGGCCGTCGAACGGCTGGAAAATAGCAAAAGCCCAAATCCTTCGAAAACGTTAGGGAAAACCACTAATTTTTGCCTCTTTGGGCCCTCGTGGAGGATCTCTTGGAGGCCTCTTGGGCCGTCTTGGAGGCCTCTTGGAGGCCTTTGGGGCCGTCTTGGTCCGTCTTGGAGGTTTCTTGTGCGAACTTGGAGGCATCTTGGACTCTCTTGGACCGTGTTGGAGGCCAACTTGGACCATCTTGGGCGAACTTGGATGCCATCTTGGGCCATCTTGGCCATCTTGGACTCCATCTTGGAGCCGTCTGGAGCAGGAAAAAACTTTGCAACCACCTTTTTGGAGCCTTACGGGTGGCCGGCGGGACGGGCCGAAACCCCAGGGGGAGTTCTTTTGGAAAACAACCGAAACCAAAATCGAAAGGATCTAGCACGCCGGGCACCCCTGTGGCAAGCCAACAGGGGGGGGCGGATCGAAGACGCCTACGGCGAATCACCGCCGCCCCCTGCCCTTGTGGAAGCGCCTATGTGTCCGACAGCTGGGCTAGAGCTCGGTTTGGAAAGGTTTCGGGGAACGCGGGGGGGAGGAAGGGGAGGAGGAGGAGAAGGAGGAAAAAAGGAGAAGGGGGAGGATGCATCTTCGGAGCCTCTTGGGGCACTCTTGGGCTCGATTGGGCCATCTTGGGACCGTCTTGGAGACCATGTTGGGGCTATCTTGGGCTCTCTTGGGGCCTCTTGAGGGCCTCATGGTGCCATTTCGGGGCTTCTCGGCGGCTTCTTTGGCCGTCTTATGACGTTCCTGGCCCGTCTGACGCCGTCGGGAGCCGTCTTGGGGGCCTCTCGGAACCGACTCGGGGCTCTCTTGGGGCGCTTCGGGGCCGTCTTGGAGTGGAGGCCTCTTGGGCCGTCTTGGGGCCCTCTTGGGGCCTTCTTGGGGCTTCTTGGGCCGTTCTGGGGCCATCTTGGAGGCCTCGTGAGCGATTTTGGGGCGATCTTGGGGGCCTCTTGGGCCGTCTTGAGGTCTTCGGAAGGCCGAAAAGAAGCAAATGCCAAAATCCTTCAACAACCTAAGAAAACCAATGATTTTGGCCTCTTCGGGCTCTCCTTGAGGACCTCTTGGAGGCGTCTTGGGGTGCTCTTGGGGGCCTCTTAGGCCGTCTAGAACCATCTTGAGGCTATCTTAGGCCGTCTTGGAGGCATCTTGGGCCATCTTGGAGGCATCTTGGTGCCATCTGAGCCGTCTTGGAGGCCACGTTGGCCGTCTTGGAGGCGTCTTGGAGGCCATCTTGGACCGTCTTGGAGCCGTCTGGAGCAGGAAAAACCTTTGCAACCACCTCTGGGCAAGCTGGAAGAGCTTTCCGGGTGGCCGGCGGGACGGGCCGAAGCCCCAGGGGGAGTTCTTTTGGAACAAGAACCAAAACCCAAACCGAAGGGGTCTGGCACGCCAGGCACCTCTGTGGCAAGCCAACCGGGGGCGGCGAATCGAGGACGCCTACGGCGAATCACCGCCGCCCCCCGCCTTCTAGAATCGCCCATGTGGCCGAGCCTTTTGGCAAAAGCTCTGCCAAGGTATCGGGCCATGTGTTCCCCCAACTGTTGTGGAAACCCTTCGGGGAACATTTGGGGGAGGATGGCGGGGAAGATCAAGAGGCGGAGGAGGAGGTGGAGGAGGAGGAGGAGGAGGAGGAGGAGGAGGAGGAGGAGGAGGAGGGGGAGACGGAGGGGGCATCTTAGGAGCTTCTAGGGACACTCTTGGGGCCTCCTGGGAGCTTCCTGGGAGCCTCTTGGACCTTTGGGGGCTTCTCGGGGGCCTCTTTGGCCGGTGGCCTCTTTGGCCGTCTTGGTGGGCTCCTGGCCCGTCTGACGCCGTCGGAAGCCGCCTTAGAGGCTTCTCAGGGCCGTCTTAGAGGCCATCTTGAGCATCTTGGAGCTTGGGGCCTCTTGGGCCGTTCTGGGGCCATCTTGGAGGCCTCTTGGGCGATCTTTGGGGGCTCTTGGGTAGTCTTGGGCCGTCGGAAGGCCGAAAAGATGCAAATGCCACGATCCTTCAAGAACTCATGGGAAATCAATGATTTTGGCATTTTCTGGCCTTCCTTGAGGCCCTCTTGGAGGCCTCTTGGGGGCCGTCTTGGGCCATCTTAAGGCTATCTTCGACCGTCTTGGTGGGCTTCTGGCCCGTCTGACGCCGTCGGAAGCCGTTTGGGGGGCATCTCTGGGCCGACTTGTGGCCCTCTTGGAATGCTCCAGGGCCGTCTTGGAGGACATCTTGGGCGTCTTAAAGGCCTCCTGGGCCGTCTTGGGGGCCTCTTGGGGCCGTCTTGGGGGCCTCTTGGGCCGTTCTGCGGCCATCTTGGAGGCCTCTTGGACGATCTTGGGGCGATCTTTGGGGGCCTCTTGGGCCGCCTTGGGCCGACGGAAAGCCCAAAACGCGCAAATGTCCAAATCCTCAAAACACCTAGGGGAAATCAAGGATTTCGGCCTCTTCGGGCCTTCTTGGAGGCCTCTTGGGCGCATGGGAGGCCTCTTAGGGGGCCTCCTGGCCCATCTTGGAGGCATCTCGGGGCCGCCTTGGCCGTCTTGGAGGGCATCCTGGGCCGTCCTGGGCGCCCCTTGGAGGCCATCTTCGTCCGTGGCCGTTCGTCGTCCGCGATCGCCCGTCGTCCGTCGCCGCCGCCCACGGCGGCGCGCCCAGCGCCTGATGCTGGCCAACCCCGAGAGTTCCGACCTCTTCAAGGGCTCCGACCGTGGCGCCGCCTGGCTCACCCAGGCGCCGCGCCAGCGCCTCCTCCTCCTCCTCCTCCTCCTCCTTTTCCTCCTCCTCCTCCTCCTTCCTCCTCCTCCTTCCTCCTCCTCCTCCTCCTCCTTCCTCCTCCTCCTCCCGCCCCCCTCCTCCCTCCTCCCTCCTCCCTCCCTCCTCCTCCTCTCCTGCTCCTCCTCCTCCTCGTCGTCTTCCCCTCCCCCTCCTCCTCCTCCTCCTCCACCTCCTCCTCCTACTCCTCCTCCCGCCCCACCACCCCACGGTTGACGTCTACCCGAGGGAGAGAATGGGTTCCCTCCTCTCCTCATCCCCTTTTGGCTCCCGCGGGAAGCGCGGCGTGGATCGAGAGGGGCGCGCCAGGATGGCAGCCCTCGCCCCCCCCCCCTGGGTCTCGATGCTGGCTGGGCCAGAAATGGGCTCGCGGGCACCCTCGAGCCGCGACATTGTTCTGCCTCTGCCAGCTACTGTAGAGGCCTCGAGGCGGGTGCCGCCGCCCCGGAAGAGAGATCAGCAGCAGCGCAAGGAGGGGGAGAGGAGGAGGAGGAGGAGGAGGAGGAGGAGGAGGAGGAGGAGGAGGAGGAGGAGGAGGAGGAGGAGGAGGAGGAGGTGCGGGAGGAGGTGCGGGGAGGAGGAGGGAGGAGGAGGAGGAGGAGGAGGAGGGAGGAGGAGCAGGAGGAGGAGGAGGAGGAGGTGGCGGGAGGAGGAGGAGGAAGAGGAGGAGGAGGAGGAGGAGGAGGTGGCGGGAGAGGAGGAAGAGGCCTCTCGGGTGGCTCTTGGGGCTGGGGCTTCTCGGGATCTGCCTGTTTCTCTGGGTGGGCGCCCGACATGGGCGCGGAACAAGTGTGTCCGATGCCCAACAACACATGATGCTTGAAACCGACAGCGGCCGCTGTGACCTCCTCACCCCCCCTACCAAGAGGCGTTCAAGAAGCCGCCAGACGCCTCCGAGACAGATGCTACCGATGAAGTTTCGAAATTACAGCTATCGTCGTCGTGGTCGTGGTCGTCGTCGTGGTCGGTGTGGTCGTCGTCGTCGTCGTCGTCGTCGTCGTCGGCGGCGGCGTCGTCGTCGTTGTCGGCGTTGGCGTTGGCGTCAGCGTCGTCGACTTCGCTGCCGCCGCTGATACCGTCCTCCAGAGCGTGCCTGGAGCACGGCGGCCCCGGGGGTCCTCCTCTTCCTCCTCCTCCTCCTCCTCCTCCTCCTCCTCCTCCTCCTCCTCCCTCCTCCTCCTCCTCCTCCTCCTCCTCCTCCTCCTCCTCCTTCGGTGACCCTCAGGACGTGTCTTGGCTCAATGCGCGTGTGCCCCGTTCACCTCCGCAGGTGGCACGCAGCCTCGTGTGGTCTCTCATCTGCGCCGCCTGCGTCGTGTCGAAAGGCTTCGCCGGGCAGAAAGTCAGGGGGGACGCCTGCGTCGTGTCGAAAGGCTTCTCATCTGCGCCGCCTGCGTCGTGTCGCTTCGACGTTTAGGGGGCCAAAAAGTGGCATAAACATGCAAAAACTCGGAGGTCCGCGCGGCTTTCTCGGATCGGCGCTGGACCCCCCTCCCCGGCGCGCGGAGCGCGCCAGGGGCGGCGCTGGAGGCGCCGCCGGGGGGCCCCAGCGCCGATCCGAGAAATCCGCGCGGACCTCCGAGTTGTTATGTTTATGCCACTTTTTTCGCAGGCCTAGAGGTTGACACCAACACCAAGATCGGCGGTGTGCATCCACCGAGGGAGGACGATCCCGATCTCGGTGATGGTGGTAAGATTATGGCTTCCAAGGTGACCGAAATATTACCACCAACACCGAAATCGAGGATCATCTTCCCCATGTGGAGGCAAACCTCTGTGCTGGTGTTGGTGCCAATTTCCAGGCCTCCCATGTTTGTTCCCCCAAACGTTGGCGCTCACACACGTTCTGAGGATCACCGATCCAGGTGGTGACCCTGCTGTCTGGCGACCCCAGCGGCGGCCTCGGCCTCTGCTGCGCCCGCTACCTGGCCAACCTCTCCATCTTCCAGACCAACCGGCGCGCGCGCGCTAACGGGGGGGGGAGGGAGGGGGGAGGGAGGACGCCGCTGGGGCGGGGGGAGGGAGGAGGGGAGGGGAGGGAGGGAGGAGGGAGGGAGTGAGGGGGGGGGGGAGGAGGAGGAGGAGGAGGAGGCGGAGGAGGGAGGAGGAGGAGGGGGAGGAGGAGGAGGAGGAGGAGGAGGAGGAGGAGGAGGACAAATTGACACGGACACAAATCAACGTCGCTTCCGAGGAATATGTATATATATATATACATATATATATAGAGAGAGATTGGACAATGTAGGACGTGATGGGGGAGAACGACGTCCAGAACAGAGATGAGAATGTGGGAGATCCTCGGATTTGTGTATCTTTATCTGTGTGTCCCTGGGTCCCTTCGAGGGAGGGGGGAGGCGGGTACCAACGCGCCCACCGGCACTACCACCACGGAGCGATTGGGTGCGCCGGGCACCACAGCCACGCCTACTGCGACCGCGGCGGCCACGACCAGCACATCCGCCAACGCAGCGGCCGCCGGCAGGACCGCCGCCAGACCGACCACCACGATCTCCCCAACGACCACCGCGCCCTCCTGCACGTCAAGCACGGCCGCCCCTACCTCCCGCCCTCCCGTCCCCTCCCCCTCTCCCTCGCCCTGCTGATGTTCCTTCCCTCTCCCTTTCCCTCTCCCTCGCCCTCTCCCTTCCCCTTCCCCTTCCACTCGCCCTGCTGGGCTGTCCCTGCTCGTGTTTCTCGTGGCAAGTCTATGCCGCCGACAAACTTGGGGCGCCGGCCAGGGCAGGAGTGCCCCGGGGCCCACGGGGCCCGACGTCACAGGGGAGCCGGGGGCCAAACCCCAACGCCCCAACGCCCAGGGGTGCGGCGGGGGTGGGGACCCACTCGGGTGTCCTGGGGCTTTTTGAGGGGGGGAGAGGCGGAGGAGTAGGGCGGGGGGCGAGGGTGGACGGGAGAGGGCTAGAGGGAGGGAGGGAGGGAGGGGAGAATGTGAGCATGAGGTGTGGAGGGAGGGGCGCAAGATGCGAGGAAGAGAGGGGAGGGAGGAGGACAAGGAGGAGGAGGAGGAGGAGGAGCAGGGGTAAGGGAGGAGGGGGGAGGAGGAGGAGGAGGAGGAGTAAGGGAGGAGGGAGGAGGAGGAGGAGGAGGAGGAGGAGGAGAAGGAGGAGAAGGAGGACCGGTGTAAACCCAAGACGCGCCAACGATGTTGCAATATACCTTCCCTCCACGCTCGCTTTCCATAGGTCCCCACAAGAACTTGCTTCCAGTAAGGGAAATGCCCCATTGGAAGGCAACCGTCTGATAATGCTCAATCGTACCATAACGTCATTCCTGTGATTTCAACACTTCGAGTCCACGTGACTGTTGCGCCCTGGCAACCTTAAGTCGTGCCAGAAAGCCGCTTTCGCTGGAATTCAACTCCGCGAATCAACGTGGCTGCTACGTCCTGACATGCTTCAGCCATGGGAGTCCTGCGCACTGCTGCAAACCTTTACGACGAATGGGCGTGGCGCCAAGGGAAAGCCGCATTTCCCAAACCCGCCCCCTCCATCCTTGACGCTGCTGCAAACTTTTAAGACGAATGTGCACGGCGCTCAGACGAGAGCCAAATTTTGAAAACCAACCGCCCTGAATCTTCGAAGCTGAAAGTTTCAACCTTCAGGAAGACTCAGGCAAACCGCCCGACCCGCCCTACCGACACGTCTGGGGGTGCGACGGGTAGAAGTTACTCCTCAAAAAAACGACGGGAGTGGAGGAGGAGGAGGAGGAAGAGAAGGAGGAGGAGGAGGAGGAGGGAGAGGAGGAGGAGGAGGAGGAGGAGGAGAAAGAGAGGAGGAGGAGGAGGAGATGAGGAGGAGGCGAAGGAGGAGGAGGAGTAGGTGGGAGAGGAGGAGGAGGGAGGAGGAGGAGGAGGAGGAGGAGGAGGAGGAAGCGGAGGCGGAGGCGGAGGAGGTGGAGGAGGAAGCGGAGGAAGCGGAGGAGGAGGAGGAGGAAGAGAAGGAGGAGGAGGAGGAGGATGAGGAGGAGGGGAGGAGGAGGAGGAGGAGGAGGAGGAGGAGGAGGAGGAGGAGGAGGAGGAGGAGGAGGGAGGCCGGAGTAAGCCCAGGATGCACCAACGGTGCTGCGGAACACCCTCCCGTCCCAGGTCCATACAATTTTTGTTCTACCGCGGAAATCGCCCCCCTTGAATGATGATCTCCTGGTGGGTCTGCCCTTAGTGGGCCCTGGAAACGACAGGGCCGTTTTTTTACCGGTTCCGTTTTGCCGTTTTTTTGCCGGTTCCAACGCCGTTTTTTTACCGGTTCCGTCGCCGTTTTTTGACCGGTTCCGTCGCCGTTTTTTGACCGGTTCCGGCTCCGGTTCCAATCCTGGAGCCGTTTTGTTGCCGTTTCCGGTCGCCGTTTTTTTGCCGTTTCCATTTTCAAGGGACATTTTTTTGGAACGCGGTGAAGAAACGGCCCTGCCGTTTCCGGGGCCCACAAAGGGTCTGCCACTCAGGCGAGACCCCCATGCATCCTGGGTTCACTCTGGTCCTCCTCCTCCTCCTCCTCCTCCTTCTCCTCCTCCTCCTCCTCCTCCTCCCACTAAGGGCGAGACCCCATTCTGCAAGTCACCACCCTCCGTCCTTCTGGGCCGGAGGATCGTCGCGCACCCCTCCACAACGAATTCAGACATATCGGATCATACAGTCGGGGCCCTGAAGAAGGAACCCTCTTCGTTGGGGAGGGGCTCCGCGTTCCTTAAGTATTTCACAGCTTGCCTTAGGTTTTCCTTAGGTTTTCGAAGGGAACTCAAAGGTTAACTTATGGAAAAAAGGGGCCTCGTTCCTTATTTAGGGTTCCTTAGATCAACGCCTCGACAGTAGTATTGGAGCAAGTGTCTAGCGACAGCCTTGGAAGGATCTGCCCCCATCCGTTCGGATGCACACAATTTCCAAATTCGGGTCGTACAGTCTGCGGAAGTCTCAAGCGAGAGCTTCGTTTTGAAAGGGGGCCGCCTTCTATCCGTGTAGCTGGTGCATAATTAGAAATATCGGGCCCTGGGATTTGGAGGAGCTTTCAAACGAGATCAGCCTGTTGTAAGCCACTTGCCGTCCATCCTTGCAACCGTTCGTAACTGTGGTAAAAGTCGCATTTTGAAAGCGGTCGGCCTTCCCTCCGTATAGCGGTTCCACATGTTTGGATTTTCGGGTCATCGAGCTCGAGGAATTCTCAAGCGAGAGCCGCATGGTGAAAGCGAACCGCCTTCCACCCTTGTAGTGATTGGAAAGTTGTAGCACGAATGCGTTCGGCCTTGAGGCGGGGGCCGCATTTGGAAGACCGCTGGCCCTCCATACTTGTATCGGGGGAGCGTAAGACCGGGGTTTGCAAGGACTCGGGTACGCCATCGCTTTTTTGACGGCCGCGCCTCGGATTTTGACGAGGAGGAGTTTCGTGGGATGTCTGCAGCGGGAGGCCTCGTCAAAATGCAGGCTCGGCCTCGTCATTTTTTTGACGACCGCGTCGGGGATTTCCGAGTCCCCTGTACCCAGGTCCCCAGACCCCCGACGTCGTGATTTTTTCACAACGTCGACCCCCAGAGGTCTGGACCCTTTCCCCGGGACCAGTTCTTCGTCCTGAGTCGTTTTTTGACGGCCCCGAGGCCCAGTAAGGGCCCCCGGAGGCCGAAAATAACGAAAAACCTCCCGTCGTGATTTTTTCACGACGCGAGGAGGTCTGGGTCTTACGTCCCCCTGATTGTGAATCATGGAAGCCTGGAGAAGCGCATGCGCGCTGCGCCAAGGCAGGGGCCGCGCGTGGACAGCCACCCGCACACCATCCTTCCAGCCGTCGGCGCTTGCTCGCCCTCGCGGCGCGAGGCGGTGAGGCTGCACCGAGCGCAGCGCCCCCGAGCGCAGCGCCCGCGGCCGCCCCGGGTGGTGCGCCAGCGGCAGCCACAAGTGGTTAGCTACCATTACGCCAAGTCAAGGAAAGAGAACCCTAGAGGCTCCGTAGCCCCCCCCCCCAAAAAAAAAGAGAGGGGGGTTAGCTACCATGGTGGTGCGACAGCGGCAGCATCCTTGCAGCCGTCGGCGCTTGTTCGCCCTCGCGGCGCGAGGCTGTCACCGTCCGCCAAACCACCCCAACTCAACCCGAAGGCCCCGATTCGCCCTCCACTTCCAGTGGGGGGGGGGTCGGGGAACATAGGAAAAAGTACATATGAAGCCCGTACCCCCCCCACCCAGATCCCCGACGTCGTGATTTTTTCACCACGTCGACCCCAAGAGGTCTGACTTTGAGGGTAGCTCTTTGGGAGATGTTATAGTATCGGGAGCATAGCTCGCGCGCCGCTGCCTTTGGCTCAAGGCACGCGCGCCCTATTTGCCCGGACACTGCTTGTGTTCGCTATGTGCTGGAAAGATCATTACATCGATCTTATCCTATCTTACCATCCACCCCTCATACTGTACCCTCACAGCAGAGCGATGGATGCTATTTGCCAGGCTATATGCCCTATTTGAGTTACCAGGCTCACTTTCGACTTGGTAGCGGAGCTGGCCGCACTCTCGTGTGGTCAGCTCTTGCTCTTCTCAGCCTCATATTCTTCGGCACGATCTTCGTGACCACCTACTACCCTGCGCCACCACTCCCAGTACATTTACGAGGATCTATTCAAGAGCAAGAAGCTACACGAGAGGTACGACGTCTTGACGACCAAATTGGTACCATATACGCTTCATCATTGCGTTACTATCAACCGCTCGGCAACGAGCCAATAACGCAATACCTGAAGCAAGGGCGGGGAAACCCGCCAGACAGAGCGCCTCGAAGACTCGACAAGGCGCTACCCCAGCGTGACACCGCTCATCATAACCATTCTTCGTTACACATTCTCGGGCTAGTCGTTTTCGCTATAATATGGTTCGCGCTGGGGGCAGCAATCGCACACATGCGTCGGGGAGATAACAGCACCGATGGGCAAACACATGGCCCATATTGGGACCCTCAGGGTAATGTACCT